GCAAAGTTGCATAAGCAAAGAAAATTCCCGGGAAGAAGTTAGCGGAGGGGCTTTGTTCTCGCTTTTGGTTTAGCTCTGCCTCCTGAAGGCTCCCGATGGGCGCTGCCGTGCCGTGCTTCGCCGGGAGAGCGGGGCCCTTTGGGGGTCAGCGCGGGCAGCCGAGGGGAGGATGCCAACCCAAAGTGCACTTGGAGTGAGATGCTTTCGTCTCTTCTTAAAACTTGCCGAGGAGCCGAGCGCAGTGGGAAACAGCAGCGCTCGCCTCCCTCAGCCCGCCGACGGGAAGCGCCTAAAGGGTTAAACGGGTTAAATCTTATTTATCTGAATAGAACTGCAGGGCTGTTTTGCAGAACGCTCCAGCACAAATACCTATGGTTCACTTTGACGTTACAATTTTTTGTTGGTTTCTTTACTTTAAATACTTGAACTGTTGGACCTTTTACTTTTTTCTCTGAGAAAGATGTATTTGTACCAGATTAGAAAAGCTAAACTGTTTCTTTACATTGAATAATCAGCCTGTCATGACAAATCTATCTCCTTCTGCATGAGTAGGTGCCAGTTTGACTAGCTTCTTTTAGGCTCACACTGGGTTTTAAGCTGGATCCATGTGCATGACTGGCAGTGCATTTGTTGGGCCAGATCTAAGGAGCCAGAGAGCGTTCAGCTCCTTTTTGCCTACAAAAGAGCAGCCAGACAACCAGCAAGAGGCCTTGGATGTAGCACAAGGTGATACTTACTTAGTCAGCCGTTGTTTTTTTTTTTTTCCAGCCCAAATATATATGTTTTTTTCTTTTGGTAAACTAAGAATTTTATCAATTGCACAACGACCCAAGGGATTAAATTTTCGGCGGATTATTTTTCTAAAGCCAGCATTCTTCACACCGTGAACGCTGCACCAAGTGAATTGTAGGTTTTCCTGAACAAAATTAATGAGATTGAAAAAAAAAAATTTTTTTTTTTTTTGGCTGGCTAGCATGTCTTTAAAAATACCGCCTAGGTTTAAGGAGTCATTTTCCATTTTGCAGTCACATAACGCCGTTTCACTGTGAGTTCGGGGTCTTTTTTTTCCCCCTCTGAAGGGGACAGCTTTGTTGTGACGTTGTTTGCGATTGCCTCCAGTTGGGGACTTTAGGCTGCTTGTGTTTCATTCTGGCTTGTCTCCGTTAGTCCATCGGTGGTGAGGACTGCAAGCCAAGAGCTTCTTTTTGCATGGCAAGTGACTTGGTACGTGTCCTGTGATGCACTTGCCTGGCAAATATTTTCCAGCGACGCCTGATTCACGGGGGCTGAAGCAGTGGGTGCAGACACCAGGCAGAGGGCAGAAACATCTGACATGTGTATGCCTCTCTTTTCTCTGCTGATTGTGTCCTACTGAAGTATATCTAACTAGGTACAAGAAGGCAACCGCGGTTCGCTCTGTTTAGGTGGCGTGCATCCGGCTCAGCCGTTCCTGTTTTTGCTCGCTACCTGTGTGCCTTGAGCTCTTCTGAAGCGGTGCTGCCGCCCAAACGTCAGCGTGGTCCCTAGGGCGCGCAGAGATTTAATCTGACCAGATGGGCCAAACTTGAGAAAGATTTTGACTTTCCACTCTGTTTTGCAACAAGAAAGGCTGATTTCCAGCCCCCCCCCCCCCCTCCCCGCCCCCTCTTTTTTACCCGCGGCCGAG